TAGGGAAACTAGTTCTCTAGATGGGCAGTATATACAATATTTAATGATACACATCAGTTTGGCTCTGCCACCTGTGAGTCAAATATCCAGCTGGCATAAATGGCCACAATATTATAGACTTTAGTGAAACTGTACCAATTTGCATTAGCTGAAGATCTGATGCATTTTGCTTATGTTACTTACAACGGCTATAAAGGCAAGTATCTAGGGAGAATGGCTACGATCAATGAGAATTTACAATTCTTTTAAATTTATGCTGGCAGTTTTCTATCTGATCCACAGTCCAATCCCACAGAGCCTCTGGGTGCTGCACTCACACTGATATAAACTGAAGTAATGCAAACACAAAGATCAAACTTAAGCTCATTAAAGTTGGATCATTCCTGGTCATAGTTGAACCATGGTAGAAGACAGTATCAAGAATATGACTGACCCAAGGGAGCACATCAGTGTTTGTACTGCTCTCTCCCTCATTAGAAATCAGAAGTGTCTAGGTTAAGAGAGCACTGCTGATGAGAGATAAGTATCTGTCTTTATGTATATTATAGCACAGTGGTGTTCAACCTTTTGGCCCCACAGACCAGATGAGTGGCATGGGGCTGGTCCACAGGCCAAAGCATGCCTGAAGGCCCACCCCTGCTCAATCCTCTGTTCTGGGATTGGGTACCTGATCTAGCACAGAGGGCCCAGGGCTCCCTACGGGTCCAGTGTCACTGCTCCCCAGCTGCCATATTTTTGTACCTGCGGGGAGCCCTGCAGACCAGATGACACGGCACAGCAGGCCAGGTCTGGCCTGGGGATTGAGCACCCCTGTTTTAGGGGATTAGATGCATCTTCAAATGTTAAATCTGTTATTTGATAAGTTGGATTCCTTAATAACTAAAGTTAAAAAAAGAAATCAGAAGCGTCCTTATATCACTTATATCTACAATGGTTATTCAGTCATCTGTACTTACTGTGAGTGAATCTCCCAGGGCGGCAATCACCTTAATGTCTGCAGGCCTCAAATTGTGAACTAGGAAAAGAAAAATTGGGGAAGAAGGGAAATTTCTAATCACTTTGTTTATTAAGGAAACCTTTTCTCTGGGACAAACAATAGGGTTCCAGAGTCTTTGGGCTGAATGCTATTTCACTCTGTGTGCCTAAAAGGCACATGCACAGCCACACAGATGCAAATTTTTGGCATTACTATAATTCAGGTCTAAGTGAACTTACCCACTAAGCATGCTCAGTAGAGTTGCGTTCTGGCCATGCACATGCATGGTGAAATAGAATGGCCCAGATACACACATTAGGATGAGTAAAAAGCCCATGATTAGCAGGCACAAGGAGAATGAGGATCACTCAGGTACATGCATAAGGCCAAGTATAAACCCATGACTAACAGAGAGCCCTCCCATGTTTAAGCCCAATAGCTTAGTGGTTAGGCACTTGTCAACGGAGCCGGGGACTCAGGCTTTAGAGCCCCTCACCCAGAAGTCATTTGAATCTACATCTCCTGCTTCTTTTTAAAGCACTTTGACTTTTAGACCATCATTTAGACCTCATCTAGCCCCTTCTCTAGCCCTCTTTCTCAATCTGACCACAGTACTTTGTATTTGCATTCATTGGGTAGAGAGCACTAGAGAAGTTTCTGCCCCTTTGGGTATGTCTACATATGCACCTGACTGTACAGTTGTTACTGCTCAGTCATTTTGTCCTTGCTTTAGCAGCTGCAAACGACAGCACATGGGTTGTTTCTGACCCTACTGCACAGTAACAATGAGCTACTGCACAGTAGCTCATTGCTACTGTGCAGTAGCATTGGCATCACAGTTTGTGCCTGCCAACACTGTGACGCCATAGCGAGGAGCTACATCGCCACAGCTCATCTCGTGTAAACATGCCCTTTGGGAGCAAGGGCTAGGTCCTCTCTCATTCTGAGCAGCATCCAAGTCACTGAGCTACACACACTAACGTGTTGTGCTCCTTCTGGCCCCACCCATTTCCCTTCTTTTGGCTGCCCAAGGGGGCTGCTTTGGTAACTGCAAAAAGCAGAATGCTTAGTATTGCCACCACTTCTTAAAAGAAACCAAAATTTACTTGAGACAGAAAACACAAGTGTCTCTAGATGTAGTCCTTAGTTCCAGACTTGATTTACAAGAGTACCCAGATAAACATACTTTTTCCTATGGTCTGAAGAGCATTTTTAAATAGATGATGGTGGGGGGTCCAAATTTCAAGAGCTTTGCTACTGTTTAGACGAAGTAACCACTCAAATTAAAAACAAAACAACCAGCCAACTAACCCTCAGTATTTTGATACTCAGTTCTTTTGAAAATCTAGCCATAAATATCACAATAAGAGTTATTGTTCACTTTTAAAATCTGTCCCATAATTATATGCCTGAAGGAAAACTGAGTTCTTGCAAACCTAACTTCAGCTGTGAGCACTGAGCACTTCATAAATTGATCCATTGGAAATCCAGACTACACTGCAAGTCGTGGCGAGTACATTAGTAAAGAGACAATCACATTAGAATGCAAGGGCATTGCTCCAGTACTCGTATCTTGATGTTGCTCGGCTGGATATGTTCTGTACAAAAAAGATTTACTCTTTGAGAAGAAATACCAATTCTAATTGCTTTATTTACTTAAGAGTATGTATATTGGTTCACTATATCTAGCCGCTTTTGAGTTAGGTTCTTCGGTAACAAAGATCTACTTTGAAAAATTACCTATTAAAAGATATTGTAATGAAAAAGTGTGTATAACATTTTAATTGCCACAAGAATGCAAGTGTCTGATTTTCAGCAAAGCACTGCAGGCTTCTTAAACAGATATGTTCAAAATGGTGTTGATTCTAGACTTCTCTACAATCTCAGAAATTATCTAACTTTTGAAAGAGAGGCAAGTGTCCAGGTCAGAAGAACTAATTATTAGATAATATTGCCATCTATAATCAACACTTGCTGAGGTAGTTTACAGAATGAAATGCATAGGGGTGGTTATAAACTATGTCACTGGAAAGAGTACATTAAAATGAGATTAAAAAGAAGCTAACTTAACTAAGGAATAATTGATAGTAAGCTAACTTAATGATTGATAGTAAGCTAACTTAACTAAGGAATCATTCAGTCTTATCTGAAGATTTATTGTTCTACAGAAAACAAAATGTCTTTGGCAGTCATAAAAAAATACCCGAAAGACTTGATGCATAGACTTGAAAATTGTCTTCTATACAACAAGAGCAACAAATGGAAACTATAAGCACCACTTCAGAAATCCCACCCTAACCTTGAACTTTATTGGGGGCCAGCCCTGATATGGTTAATTTTGTTTCTGGAAGGGAACTCTTGAATACATGTTAAGGGCTAAGTTCAGAGTATTCTGTGGTTCGCAAAGCTTTTTTTATTTGGGATATATTTCTGTGGGAAAAAAAATCTGTTTTCTTAATTTAGAGATTCTGCCAGCAAGAAGACATTTCAGACACATTTCCTTTACATTATATAGTTGGTGAAATAAAAGATATTGCCAAAACCCCACCCCCAGGGGGTGCTTTATTTTAGGGTGCTTAGAAGTGACAAAAAATGTAGATATCCAACTTTCTATTTCATCATGTCTCCAGTTTTAAGTTTGGGAGAAGTAGGGGTTTAGGATTAAAATGCAACTGGGCTGTCAGAGACCTAGTAGTGTTCTCTCCTTCAATCACCTATGCCTCAGTTTCCACATCTGTTAAATGAGGTAATCATCGGCATGTCATATGGTTTAATTACTGTTTATAGGGTATGGACAAATGAACAATTTTAACACAGTTATAAAATGTGAAGGAAAGACTTAACACTTGTGAGGACTCACCAGCAGACTCAGTGTAAATCAGTCCATGACCATCTCATAGGTACATAAAGTGAAACAGGGTTACATTATTGTGTTAAAATCAGGGATAAGATGTACCAGTTTAACTTCTACTTAACACAGAATAGGAGCAGACAGACTGAACAGTAACAGTGGATTCACCTAAACTGCACACCCTTAAAAAGGTATAATTGTTCACCTGTCCATACCCATAGAACTTCAAAATCATTGACTGAACATGGCTGTGGACATTAGGGCTGTGTGAAGCTTCAGTCCCTGACTCAATTCAGTGGAGATTCGGCCCAATTCAGTGGCCAAATCTCCAAATCTGAATCGAATCAGGAGACCCTTTAATCTCTCTGAATCGAATTGGAACCCTCTGAATTGATTCGGAGAGATTCAGAAAGATTCGGACATAGAGACAGCTTTAAATGTTTTTTCTACATACTTCAAGGTACCAAGTGGCTTGTGAATGCTGTGATGCTGGGGCTAATGGAGCGTCCCACAGGAGCACAGAGGGCTCCCCAGTGCGCTCAGCAGCAGACCCAGAAGTGGACCAAAAGCACTTGTGGTCCACTTCCAGGTCCGCCGGGGAGCATGCAGGGTCCCCTTGCGGCTGATCACTGAGCCGTGTCTGGTACCTCGAGCTATGTAGAAAAAACATTAAAGTTGTGTCTATGTCCAAATCTCTGATTCTTGGAATCAGGATCAAATCTTCAGATTCAGCCGAATCGAATCAGGGACAGTGATCTGAATCAACAAATCAAATCACTGTCCCCAATTCGGGCGGAATCCAAATTTGAATCAAATATGGCCCATTTTGCACACCCCTAATGGACATGTAGTGCTTTATTACTGTTGCATGTAGTTCTACTTGAATAGCTAATTTAGATTAATTAGTTTCACTTTCTGCATATGCTAGCTTTGCTTTCCGCTTCAGACATATGTAAGTCTAACACAGGTGCATATATGGCTTTATACACCACAAGGAAAGGTTTACATCTTGGTGCCAAACTGATGTAACTTTACATTTTCAAAATATAAAACTTTAAACGTTGTGCCTAAAATTAGATGACAGTACCCCTTTATAATGCACTGAAACACCGCTCTAATAAAGACATATCCATACCTGAAACAGGAACTGAATTAGAGGGCCTGCGGTCTGGACAGGGAATGCTTGTCCCATAGCTTCTTTCCTGGAAATATTCATAACACAATGCTTTACAAAGATGATTTTTTGGTTTTTGTTTGGGAGTTTGTTTGGGTTGGGTTTTCCTTTTGGGGGGGGAAAGAGGAGGGGTTGGTAAATGAATGATAGCACATCTGATTGTGTATTATAAACAAGCTCAGATCTCCCCAAGGAAAGATGTAACATAATGTAAGTTTCCTAATGTAAATCTGAATTCCATGCAACATCAATAACTAGGGTGGGCAAGTGGGGCGCCGACCCAGGGCTCTGACTTCGAGGGAGTGCAAGAATAGCAAACACCACCGCTGCTAGCCCTTGCACTGCAAATGCCACCACTAGCCCAGCTGCTGCTACTGTTAACCAGGGTTCAAAACTTCTTAGGTACAACTCTGCGCAACATAAATATAACATGTAAAAAACATGTAACAGTGACCTAGGCTTTGGCAAGATATACACTAGATTTTCTTCAAAGTTGAGATAGTTAGTCTGGGCCTCCGTCAGGAGAAGAATACTGAATACTGACAAAAATATTTCCAAGCTACATTGTCTGTAGAGAATGGCCACTGGCATCTAAATGGGAGCATTTGCCTGAGCACCAGCATGGGTATGGCCTACATCGGGGGTAGCCAACCTGAGGCACAGGTGTCATAAGTAGCCAGGCAGCCTCTGAGAGGCACATGGCAAACCAGGGAGAGGACAGGCAGCACAGCAGCTGACATGGCAGACAGCAGAAAGTGAAGCAGCAGATCAGGCAGGGACTACAGGAATGGGAGAAGAAAGCAGACCAGCAGATTGGACAGGGGAAGGGGATTGGAGTGACACTTGAGGAGGGTGTTGGGCTAATTTGTGGCACACCTGCCAAAAAGGTTGGCCCTCACTGTCCTACTTCTTTTCAAGCCAGTGACCAAGGAGAAATTATCTATTTTGAAAGGGAAGATACTGGTCCTGTGAACGGGCCTATTGCTCAATTCCAGGTTTCCTTTTCATCCTAACATACTGTTCCTGCCCCACCATCACAGCACAGCCCTTCCTGAAAATCTGACAAGTGAGCAGCCTCATTCTGTTGCTCATTATATAAGCATAAATCAAGGCTAACTAATGAAATGAATGGAGTTACACTAATGCAAATGAGATGAAAATCAGACCCAGAGAATGAAGTGTTATCTTAAACAGCAAGTGGACCACAAGGGGTACTCTTATACCCTAGGCAGAGAGACACTCTACCCTTGCTCCAAGATGAGTATCATGATTCTTTATTGTTCGGGGCTATAGTACACTGTCCAACAACCCCACATTCAAGCTTCATCTTCATTGCTAAAAAGCTACTTTTTAACCTCAGAATAACTAAGGACTTGTGATCTGAAGTAAACATACAGCAAAGATGAGGCATTTGCTGTTTTTACCATGAGATGAGGTCAGGTCAACCCAAGACAATGATATAGTGCTGGCCTCAACCAGTTTGCTTGACAAAAAAAGAAAGTGCTTTGCCTCTACCATAATTTAATCTTGGGACAGCTTGTGGCCATTAGACACCCCAATATAAAAAGAAATAATCACTCCCTTTGGGGCAGTGAAGACAAGGTGAATGAAAAGAAGCAAACTTTGGTTCACACGTTACAAGATCCACTCAGGAAAAGGTGTGGCAGCAATACAAGTATCAGAAGGAAAAGGTGTTAATATTCTGGGTTCACATTTTTCCCACATACAATAATATTCATGAGATTAAGGCTCTCCTATACCAGCCTTAGCCCCCCCGCTAAGCACACATATTCACATATATGGTACACTAAGGCTTTCTGTACCTGAGACAATACTTCCTTATGTGAGGTCACAGGAAAAGACAAGTAGTTACTATTCTTGTACGTGAAAAAATAGGGATGCTCCTGCAGAGACAAGAGAGTACGTTTACTGTCAGTAACAAAAAGACAATTAGCTGATGTTGAAATCAGCTGGGTAGATTTTCTAAGAGGGGGAAAAACATTACAACACTCCAAGTATTTAAAGAAAACAAAGCTAATGACATATGCCACATCGAACAGCCTGAATACTGATATCCTGTTTGTCTGCAACTGCAGA